GAGATAAATCACGATTAATAATTAATAGTTGATGGAATAATTAAAAAGTATGTTTCAATATTCTTACGATGAATTAGTAAGCAACATACGTGAAATAGAGGATTGAAAAAGCAAAAGATGTACTATGGAAGTCGACTTTTAATGATACATGTTAAGTTAAGGAATGAGTTTAGACGTAGGGACGGCGATTAAATAGAAAGTGTGGAGATTTCTATAGAGTAAAATAACGAATAGTGCATGGATGTCCTTAGTAAATGAGAAATTTAAATAATTGCGCTAATGTACGATAAAAATATTATGAGAAGAATAGAACTTGTATAAAAGAACTGATAGAGTGAGCTCGAATCACCCTGCGATACTATAGACAACGGGAGTTACAAGAAAATTTTTCTTAAAATTTTGGATTAAAGTAACAGTTTTTCTGTAACATCCCTTCCCGGTCCACCCGTAAACCCGAATAAACCGAGTCGAGATGTTACAAACTGGTTCACTTATATCCTGTCATGCTGAACTCATAATGCATATTGAATATAATAGCATGCTAAAATTTAATTTGGGAAAAATATAAGTATTAAGCATTTTGTTGTAAAGCTCGGTTAATTGTAAGATTTTTATTTAAAGAAAGATTTTCTAGCAACTGTCCGATGATAGTTTGGAGGCTAAAGTAACAAAGCTTCCTATAAGTATCAGCTAGGTGGTATTGTCTAGCTTGAACGAAATTTTGGTTTAAATATGATTGGTGGTAGAAATACAAGCAAAATACCTCATTCACTTCATTTCCTCGATTTATATTTTTGCTCGCGAGCTGTCTCCTTGGTATTGGAAGCAATTTCATATAACTTTAAAATTTCCCATGCATCCATTCTTATTCTTTCAATTTTTTCCAAATGATCATTCTTATTCTTTCCACTAGATTCCAATCGAGGACGAAATTTGTCTATAAGGGGGGGGAGAATTGTAAATATCCGCGAATTTTTATTTTCAAAACTTTAGAATTTTTATTGAAATTCAAAAAAAAATCCCGATTTTTTTTATAGGTATGGGAAGGTCGTGAAGACCGAGCATTTCTACTTGAGCCCAAATTTGAATTGAGCTTTGAATTGGGCCCAAGCCCAAAAACAGAACGTTCGGAAATTTCGATGAAATAAAATGGAACTCTACGATATAAACTAATTATCCTAAATTTATTGTTATTATTATTTGTTGTACTATTAGAACGTAACTTGAAGAGATGTTTTATGACCCAACTAAATAATTAAATAAATTAAATCGGACCTAAAAATCAAATTAACTGTGTCGAAACCACACGAATAATCGGAAAACCGAGCGAAAAACTCATAAACCAAATGAAATGAGACCAAATCACTGAATCGGACAGAACCGGTTCGAATCGAACCGGACCTGCCCATTTCTTTTCTTTTCTTTTTCTTTTCTTCCTTCTCCTTCTCCAGTTGCACGACCTCCTCCTCCTCCTCCCTCTCCTTCGATCTCCTTCCTCCGGTCACCAAATCCGGCAAATGAATACTCTAAAAACATCAACTCAACGCAAGGAAGAAGAATATGGCTTTGACTTGAACTGAAACTGCATCTATTTTGAAAGGAAAGAGCTTGAAGTTTTGGCACCATAGCGACACCTTTTTTCCGGCGATTCACGCCGTTTCAGGCAAGTCTAGAGCGCAAGGTGAGTACCAAATGACTCCTCTCTTCTTCCTCTTTCATTTGATGGCCTCCTCGTCAAGACAAGGGTGAGTAACCAAATGACTCCTCTCATTCCTTCCTCCTTTAATTTTGATGGCCTCCTCGTCGACTGAAATAGCCCGGAATCGGAAAAACCCACAAAATGGGTATCACCGAACCTTTCCGATCAATTTCCGGCCAAATAGTTCGTACCCACCTTGATTTGAATACATATTAATGATCCTCTCATCGAAACAAATAAAATGATAGATTGTTTGTTAATTTTGGTGATGATTTGAATTTCCGACCACCGTGCATGGCGGTCGGCGGCGGCGGTCCGGTGACCGGACGGCGGCACTCCGGCGAGGCCCCGAGAGACAGAATCCTCTTCTCTTCGCGCTGATCATGGAATTGTCGCCCGATTCCCAATGGGTATGTTCTAAGATTAAATTCTTAATTTTTATATATATAAAGAATTAATTGACTAATGAATTTAATCGAGTTATTAAATAGACTAAATTGAATAACAAGATATTAACTTATTGAATTAACTAAAATTTCATGAACATTAATTATAACAATAAAGTTGATATCGAAATAAAAATTTCTAGTTAATAGTTATGTAAGTTAATTTTAAGAATTTTAACAAATATTGTTAGGAAGAATTATAATTTATGATATAGACAAGAATTAGTTATAGGATAATTAATTATATCATGGGAATTTAGTTTAAATGAGAATGTCCCCAATGAATGGGCTATGTGAATTGAATGAACAAATGAATGATGGTTAGGGCGGATAGGATCAGTTAATGTGAATTGCTGGATGGATGGGCTGTGTGTTGACATGTGGAATATGTAAAATTGGGTAGTACAGTTTATAGGGGAAATGCTGCCGAATTTTAGGTGAAACACTTAATAAAGAATTAATTAAGTTATATCCTTAATAGGTAGTAGCAACTAAAACTTTTAGTATTATTATTATTATTATTATTATTATCATTGTATTTATTATTATTATAAAAATATTACTTAGAGAACCTAAATATAATATGCGTAATATAACAAGTTGAATTAAATGACCGGGTAGCCAAAATACCACCATAAACGAATGTGAAATATAAGTTTTTTGATTAAAATTCTTATTTAAGAAATTTTCTTATTTATGTTTAAAAGTTATAAAATACAGAAATGCGAGGGAACAAAGCTGGAAAGCATGTGGGCTAAAAAGGCCAGTACCTTTTAAAGGACAATAAAGAAACTGTGAGTAGTGTTAGACATAACTAGTATCAACAATCCAGCCTGCATTCATAGCATTCACGGCTTAAAATGCTATCATGCATTAATTTGTTGATTGCCATATTGTGCTGCACTAATTGTTGATATTAAATAAAGTTATGTGATACTTGTGGGAGCGAGGGGGGGGGGTGGGGGGGGGGGGGGGGTGGTGTGAGTCGGGGGGGCGTGGGGTGGGGGTAGCGGGGCGGCGGTGGGGGGAGGGTGGGGCGCAGGGGTGGGGGGTGGGGGGGGGGGGGGGGAGGGGGGGGGGGGGGGGGAGGTGGGGGTGGCGGGGCGCCCTGGTGTATATACCTGTGGCCTTGTTTGTGTGGAATTGGGATGAAGTGGGGCCAACCATGGTTATTTGTGAGGACGGTCTAATGGGCGGCGTAGCTTAGTGTGATATGGATCCCTGAATATGAGATATGATAATGAAATGTGACCGTCGGGCCGGAAAAATGGGAGATCGGCGCCCCTGTGTTGCACCCGCTATGATATGAGATTCATAATAGAACCAGCAGGAATGTGGCCTCTGTGTTGTTGCGTGACACATAGTGCTGATAATCTAGTATTTGATTTGTAGCCGCGCAGGGTGGCTCCTGTTGTGAAGCACTTGATTTGATCTAGATTGGATGGAGACCACGAGTTGCCTCCTGTTGGTATGGAAAAAGAAAGAGAGAAAATGGAAAACAAATGAGAGGAACTTGGTCAGTTGAGGATAAGACCAGTTGGCCGTATGCGGGGATCGGCTGCCCTGGTGCACATCGTACTGAGAGAGGCGAGCCATGTGTGAGGACGCTCGTTGGGGTTTTCAGGTGGTGCCACTGTGAACTAATTTCCACGATGAATGTGATTAAATATTGAAGGTGATGATACTTGTGCATTGCTGTTGTATTTGCATTCCCTTATGTGTGACAAACTGCATGATCATAATAATTAGACGGTAACTAAGAATACAAAATAAGTTTAGGCATCTGTGATGAATTGTGTGAGGGTGAAGAGGAGTTATTAACCCTACATGACTTGAGATTTGGCGCTCACCCCGTGCCGCTACTAGTTTTTTTTTTCGCAGGTAATAAAAGAAAGAAAAGCCTTGTGGAGTTGAGACACTTATTGTAGATGAAAGACTGTTTAATGATAGAAATAACGATGTAAAACAAAGGCTAGAGTTCCGCAATTGTATTAGCCAGTTTGGCGTTGTAATAAATAATGAAAAGTCCATTTTAAAGTATATGAACTGTAATTTTTGAATGCATAATGCATAATAAGTTAATGGGCCCGAAATCCATAACATATTTGTAAGAATGTTCGAATTGAATAAGTTAGTGCCTTACTAACGATTGGAATAAGTTAGGCTTACTACGGGCTTCGGGGGCCTTAAGCCCACCCAGGTCCTAGTGCCGGTCCGGCCCACGAAAATGGGTCGTGACAAATACAGATAGTAAAATGTTTAAAAAGGTTTTACAATCATTTAAAAATTCTAAATTAGGAAAGCCTTTTCTACTTTCCTTTCTTTTCTATACTCGATCGATGCCGTAAAATGAAATGGGGCTCTCATACTCTGAGCATTCTTTTGGGCTCATATTGGGCTCATTTCTCAATAGACAGCTCCATTGTCTTGGGCTCATGATAGGCTTACCCAATCAATTCATGAAATGCATTTTAAAAATTATATTTTCGCAGAGTTGACCCTAATTTAGTTTCTTTTTTTAAGCGTTTGAGAGAGGATATTTCATTCCAAGGAATATTATTATTATTATTATTATTATATTATTATTATTAATTATTATTATTATTATTATTATTATTTCAATTTTTCAAACGACAATGAAAGTCTTTATTATTATTATTATTATTATTATTTCAATTTTCAACGACAATGAAAGTCTTTGTTACATCATATGTAAATTTCCTCGTAGAAACATATATTGACTTTCCAAATACATGTCCAGAAGCCAAGTCTGCCCCCCTCTGCACATCCATCACCTAATCTTTTTCTTCATCATAAAACCTTTAAGATCTCTGTCAATCCTTGTTTGATCATCTATGGCGGTAACCATGAATCAAGTAATGGCAAAATCAATCAAATTAGCTGAAGAAGTTATAGTATCTACAAAGCATTTAAGGGCCTTCAAGGATGAGTTCCATGAGATCAGGTCCCAGACCGGCAAGTTGGCAGCGCTTCTGCGACAAATGGTGGCTCAAGTATCTTCTCAATTCTATGAGCGGCCAGTACGTATAATCATTGACAAGACTGAACAAGTACTCTATAGGGCTCTTTCCCTTGTGCTTAAATGCTGCAATAATGGCATTATGAAGCGTATCTTTTTTATCATCCCTGCTTCTGATTTCAGAATAGTGTCAAGCCAATTGCAATCTTCTGTAGGAGATGTTTCTTGGCTCCATGGCATATTATTTTCCGGCGACAATCTTACAGGTGTACATTTATCTCTCCCTCCAATTGCCTTTAATGATCCAATCCTCAGTTGGACTTGGGAGTGTATCGGCGCGTTGTATAATAGTTCAATAGATGATAAGTGTGAGGTGACGAGTGAGCTCCTCACGTTTTCTCTTGATTCTAATCAGACCAAGAAACTGATCATAGAGGAAGGAGGGGTTGTTCCATTGTTAAAGTTGTTGAAAGAAGGTAGTATAGAAGAACAAGTCATTGCTGCAAAGGCAATTGGGACTCTAGGCTTTGACTCAGAAAGTGTCCAACACATTATTGATGCCGGTGTTTGTAAAGTGTTTGTTGAAATACTCAAAGAAGGTACTATGAAGGTTCAAACTGAGGTGGCCTGGGCTATATCAAATCTTGTCTCTAACTATCCCAGCTGTCAAGATATTTTTGCCCAGAATAATATAGTTCGCCTGCTTATTAACCACCTCGCATCTGGGGTAGTTCAAGAGCATGTTCCAAATGTTATTGTCATAAATAAAGCCACATCAGTTCTTGCCATGGTAATGGCAAGGAATCACTTGAATACAAATGACGAAATTGAGGAATGCGATATTGACAAATCCAAGCAATCTCAGCAGCAGAATGTTTTACTCTCTCGTGCAAGTTTTAGAGGTAAAGACAAAGACCCTGAGACAAAAACCTACATGAAAGCAATGGCTGCTAGAGCGCTTTGTAACCTTCTTAAGGGCAACTCTTCTATATGTCGAACCATCATTGACACAAGAGGTCTGATGTCTTTTATAGTTCTCTTAGACAAAGGAAATAAGGATGTTCAATACCATTCAGCGATGTCATTAATGGAGATCACTGCCAGAGTAGAGGAAGATAGCGATCTAAGAAGAACCACATTCAGACACAGTTCACCTGTTTCCAAAATTGTTGTTGATCAACTCGTTAAAATCCTTCAAAGAGAATATCAAGATATAGACATTCTAATCCCATCCATCAGGAGTATTGGGAATTTAGCAAAGACATTCCGAGTCACAGAAGTAAGGATTATTGGTCCATTGGTTAATCTTCTACACCATATTAGAGATGCGGAGGTTTGGAAGGAGGCGTTAATGGCGCTTGCAAAATTTGCCTGCAAAGAAAACATTCTCTACCAATATCATTCCAAGTCAATTATACAAGCTGGAGGAGCAAAGCACCTAATCCAACTCATCTTTTTTGCTGACCGAATTGTTCAACACTCAGCTTTGCTGCTCCTCTGCTACATTACTTTGCATGTCCCGGACAACGAAGAGCTTGTGCATTATGAAGTGCTCAAAGTGCTAGAATGGGCATCAAAGCAACCATTTGTCATTCAAGATGAAATATTTCCCTCACTGCTGCCAGAGGCCAAATCAAAATTAGAGCATTTTCAATTCTTGAGGTCTGCGAGCATTTTATTGACGGAAGCAAGATGAGTTACATTTAGCAGCTTGTGGTTGTGTGATTAGTCATTCTACTGGAGTACAAAGTTCATCTTCTGTCTCAATTATTAATGCTTAATAAGTTTCTGCTTTTCTACTGTGAATGCTTGCTCTTTCAAAAGTCTAAACTCAGTATAAATCTTTAATGATAGACTTAATTTAGAAAGCAGATAATGAACAAAAAAAAAATAATAATAATAATCAGAAGAAACCAACACAATCCTTGCTTTCATTCAATCTCTCTTCTTTTCTGCTCTATTCAAAAAATATTAACATTTTGTTTTCATGAACAAAATGTTACAGACCAGATCATTGTCGAGATCAAACAAGTGCTTTACAAATGTCATAGAGGGTGTTCAAACGAACCTTGTGCCAGTAAAAATCATTGCTGCTGATTTTAGATCAATTTATATATTACCAATTAAAAGATTCTGAAAGGAGGTTTTGGTTTGTAAAACTTTCGTTTAGTTCTGTTCTCTTTTCAGTAGATTGAAGTTAACAAATCTATCATGGTTGATTTGATGGAAAAAATTGAAAACAAATGCATTGTTACCAAGTTCTTTGATTATCAAACCCATAACTGGTCTCCAGACTTTTGCCATAGTTTCCTTCAAGGCAACGATATTAACTGTTTGTCAATGAGTAAACGTCCTGCAGACACACCATTGAGGATTCTCAATCTGTTCTTCCTCCACTTCCGGCTCCACATTCACTTCCAATCTAGTCTCTGTTCCTCCAGATTAAGCCCTGCATAAAACTCCTCAAGGGCTGGCATATTGTTGTTGGCATTGCTAGAACTGGCCATTGAAATGACAAAGAAAAGAACAAAAGAAATCTCAAATCAGGGCTGAAAATAAAGAGATGAAAAAAGGGGAAACTTGTCAGTTGTCACATGAGCAAGGGATTTTGGAAGCTCGTCGCGAGAGAACGAGAGAAAACGGCTCCAAGTTGAGCATAATAGTATTTAATTGGGGTTGCGTAAAAATATCTTATATAATAACTCTTGCCTCAGAAATAAATAAATAACTAATAAAAAATCTAGTTTTTTCTTTCAAAGAAACCGCTTTGGCTGAAACGATATTGCAAATTGCAAGTAGATGCTGATAAACTCAAGGATAACATGTAGTCTACTAATTAATCACTCTCTCTATCTCTAACTTAGTATATCATCCATGGAAGACACAACCAAGGACATATTATCAAAGCAAATATTATTAGCAGAACAGGTTATTAGATCTGCAAATGAAGCAACTTTCTTCAAGGAAGAATGCAACCATATCAAGTTCAAGACTGAGAAGTTGGCGTCACTCCTTCTTCGGATGGTGGATCATGCTGCCTCTCAATTCTACCACCGTCCAACACATCGAATCATTGATGATTCTCAACAAGTCCTCGAGAAGGCTCTGTCTCTTGTGCTCAAATGCAGATCTAAAGCTCGTATCAAATGCACATTCGCGTTAGTCTCTACTACTGACTTTAGAAAAACTTGTTCCTGTTTGGAAAATTCTATTGCAGATATCACTTGGCTTCTTCAATTATCATTGCCTGATGATGATAACTTTGAGTACTTGGGATTGCCATCGATTGCTTCTAGTGATCCAATTCTTTGTCTTATATGGGAACAAATTGCTGTGCTTAATACTGGATCGATGGAGGATAGATCTGATGCTGCGGCCTCTCTTCTTATGCTGGCCAGAGACAACTATCGCTATGGGAAGATATTCTCGAGGAGGGAGAGGTTGGCCCTTTGTTGAAATTGCTCAAAGAAGGGAACAAGGAGAGTCAAATGATTGACACAATAGCAATTGGTGCGATATGTTATGACTCGCAGAGCGTACAACGGGTGCTCAAAACTGGTGTTTGTAAATTGTTTGCGAAATACTCGAAGGTTTTTTGGAAGTGCAAGCTGCGGTAGCTGGGGTAATTTCAATATTTGCTAGTAGTTGGTGACTTGAATTTGGTTAATTACATAAGTAACATGTTCGGTGAAAACTGAAAAGTTCGATGGAACAGTGTCTTAGTTTTAGCAGAGGAGGATGAGCCACCCAAGCAAAGCTTATATGATTCAGAGTGAAAAAATAACCTCACTATTAACCAAGGCCAAGGGAATCTTTTTAAAGCAGCAATTGGCTACTTGTTGGGTAAGAAATTCCACTTCTTTCTTTCTAAATTCCCAACTTCAGAAAGTTCATGTCTTCGTAAATATAATGGTTAAGAGACCATTTCTCTCAATACATCATTTTCCACTTCTGTAAGTTTCAGCTTTCTACTGTGAATTATTGATCTTGGGGACTAATTTTGATAAAATTAGGACAAAATAAATAGTTATCCGAAGAATAATTATTTCATGTTTTTTTTATTGATAAAGGATTAAATAAGTGGAAAGAGAGTTAAAATGAAGAGACTATTAAATTAATTTTTTAAAATAAATATTCAAATGTTACATTTTATTTTTAAATTTTATTTTCAATCTTCAATTTGGTTAGAACATGGGCACCACATTCCACGGGCTAAGTCAATTTTGGCAGGAACTTTATTTTATTCGACGGCTTCATAAGTCTGCCAATCGACCTCCCCCTCTCAATCTTGTTTAATCTGGCGTAGCAGCTCATCTATGGCAGCCACCATGAAACAAATAGTGGCAAAATCAATCAAATTAGCTGAAGAAGTTATAGTATCTACAAAGGGTGTAAGGGTCTTCAAGGATGAGTGCTATGAGATCAAGTCCAACACTCGTAAGCTCGCAGCAATTCTTCGCGAAATGGTGGCTCAAGCATCCTCTAAATTCTATGAGCGTCCAGTGCGTATAATCATTGACGAGACTGAACGGGTACTCCAAAGGGCCCTTTCTCTTGTGCTGAAATTCTGCAATAATAGCCTCATGAAGCGTATCCTAACAATCGTCTCTGCTTCTGAATTCAGATTAGTGTCATGCCAATTGCAGTTTTCTGTAAGAGATGTTTCTTGGCTCCATCGCTTATTATTTTCCAGCGATGATCATCTAGGTATAGAATTATCTGTCCCTCCAATTGCCTCTAATGACCCACTCCTTGCTCGGATATGGGCATATATTGGTGCACTATATAATGGTTCAATAGATGGTAAGCATGAGGCTGCAAATGAGCTCCTTTCGCTTTCACAAGATTGTGATTTGAATAAAAAGTTGATCATACAGGAAGGAGGGGTTGTTCCATTGTTGAAGTTGCTGAAAGAAGGTAGGATAGAAGCACAAGTCATAGCTGCAAAAGTAATTGGGACTCTAGGCTTTGACTCAAAAAGCGTTCAACGCATTATCGATGCTGGTGCCTGTTTGGTGTTTGTGAAAATCCTCAAAGAAGGTTCTATGAAAGTTCAAACTGAGGTGTCCTGGACTATATCAAATCTTGCGGCTAAATACCCGACATGCCAAGGTATTTTTGGCCAGAGTAATATAGTTCGCCTGCTAATCAACCATCTTGCATCTGGAGTAGTTCAAGAACACGTTCCAAATGCTATTGTTATAAACAAAGCCACATCAGTTCTTGCAATTGTAATGGCAAGGAATCATTTGATTACAAGTAAGGCAATTGAGGAATACTATGATGACAAGCCCAGGGAACCTCAGCAACAGAATGTTTCACTCTCTGGTACAAGCTTTAAAGGTGGAGAAATCAAAGTTGAAAATGAAGACCCTGAGACTAAGGCCAATATGAAAGTTATGGCCGCCAGAGCTCTTTGTAACCTCCTCAAGGGCAATCCTTCTATATGCCGCACCATCATTGACTCAAGAGCTCTAATGTCTTTTATAGTTCTCTTAGACGAAGGAAATAAGGATGTTCAATACCATTCTGCGACCGCATTGATGGAGATCACTGCCATAGTAGAGGAAGATAGTGATCTAAGAAGAACCACATTCAGACACAGTTCACCTGTTTGCAAAATTGTTGTTGATCAACTCGTGAAAATTCTTCAAAGAGAAGATCAAGATTTAGACCTTCTAATCCCATGCATCAAGAGTATTGGGAATTTGGCAAAAACATTTCGAGTTGCGGAAGCAAGGATAATCACTCCATTGGTTAATCTTCTAGATGATATTATAGATGTTGAGGTTCTAAAGGAGGCCTTAATCACCCTTGCAAAGTTTGCCTGCAAAGAAAACAATCTCCATCATGATCATTCCAAGAAAATTATACAAGCTGGAGGAGCAAAGAACCTAATTTCGCTCATCGTTTTCAAAGACCAAATTGTTCAACACTCAGCATTGCTTCTATTGTGCTACATTACTTTGCACGTCCCGAACAGCGAAGAGCTTGTGCAGCACGAAGTGCTCAAAGTGCTAGAATGGGCTTCAAAGCAATCATTTGTTACTCAAGATGAAACATTTGACTCATTGCTACCAGAGGCCAGAGCTAAATTAGAGCATTTTCAATTCTCTAGAGGTTTGAGAGCATCTTATTGATGCAACGATATGTTTTGAGTCATATTTAGAAAATGCACCATATATATCACGATTCACATACAGCAGCTTCCGGTGGTGTAATTAGCCTAGCCATTCCAGTGGAGCACAAAGTTCAGCTTTTGTCTCAATTTATTAATGACTATCTCTTGTTGTTGTTGTTGTTGTTGTTTTCATTTTCTAGTGGAGCAACAGGAATATACAGAAACACCTGCAGAGATTGTAGCACGGTATAATATCACAGAGATAATTAATGCCACTCAAAAGTTCAGCCCAAAAATGAAGGTTGGCAAGGATGGTCATTTTGGGATAGTCTACAAGGTGGAACTTTGGCTTGCTCTTTCTTTGGCATTAATTGGTCATGTGCATATAATAATTATTCCTTCCATTACTTATGGCTACAGGCTGAACTGCCAAATCTGACCGTAGCAGTGAAGAAGCTTTTTCCTCAATCAAAGAAAGCTGCAGGAATAAGAGCAGAGGTTCTTGCATTGTCTAATTTGGAAAATCAGAATCTTGTTAAATTACTGGGTTCTTATTCAAAGAGAGGTTTGCATTTGCTAATTTATGAATATATGGATAAAGGATCCCTTGAGCAAGCTTTATTCGGTAACCTTCTTTTATCCAATAAGCTCACTATTCTTTGAAATTCATTTTTTTGTTTGATGATTTAATTAGTTAGGATCAAAGTGCAGGGTCATAAACAAATTTTGAGAACCAATCATCACTAATATTTTTTTGCAAAAAATGTATGTGGTGAAAATTTTGACGGGTTTTTGTAGTTAACCCTTTTTATCTAACACTTACATCTATCTCATATCCATTCTATAATTAATTAATGATCTCTATGCAGGTCCTCATTTTTCACTGCCGCTTAATTGGGAAATTAGATACCGTATTTGCCAACAAATAGCCCAAGGTTTAGAATATATACATAACCAGGAGCCCCCCATAATCCACAGAAGTATCAACGCCAGTAATATTCTGCTTTATAGAGATTATAATGCTAAAATCTCAGACTTTGGATTGGCAAATCTGTATGAGGAGAATGATCCATTCACGTTCATTAGAGCAGGAAGGACACTGTGAGTACTGAGACAACAAAAATTTCTTCACTTTCATGAATTAGTTGATCAACAAAAAAATAAAATAATTTGCATTGTTGCCTGCAGAAGGTACATGGCACCTGAGTATGCTGTTGGAAAAGAAGTAACAGTGAAATCTGATGTGTATAGTTTTGGTATTCTGCTCCTTGAAATCCTTAGTGGGATAAAGATGGACACAAATTTGGGCGATCGTGGTAATAGTATTTATCTTTTAGACAAGGTAATAAATGCATACTTCTTTTTTACTAATTTATTTGTTTATTTATATTATAAGAAGGTGAGAGTATTGTGAATAAAGAGACTGGAACTCACCAACTCAAATATAATGGTTTGATATCATCTGATTTTAATTTTAATTTTTTATTATAAAGATTTGTATCTTGAATGAGTTAACGAAATAAAAATAAAAATAAAAATGTTTTCCTTTGTTTTTATGGTTCAAAACATTAAGTGACAAATGTAATAGATTTTTCTTTTATTATGTATATTTGTGAAATAAACCCAAAAACAACGGCTAGCAAGACTACCATTTTCATGAAAATTAAGAGTGTGTGTGTGTATATATATCCCTCAGTTACAAGGTAATGCATTTACAGGCTTTTGAATGTCACAAGCAAAAAAACTACGAGGAACTAGTCGATGAAATATTAAAGGAGTATCGATTATGGAAAGTATCATCAAGAACACTAGAACAAGCCATCACCATCATCAAATTGGCAATGTTGTGCATTGATCGGTTGCCTTCTAATAGGCCTGCGATGTCAAATGTAGTGAGTGTGCTTCAAGGTAAAATAACTGTTAAAGATATTGCTGACAATGTATCATCTTCCTTTTACCTATAATTTCAAATTTGGGATTTGCTTTTGGAGTTTATTTCATCTATTATTATAGCATTCTTCATTAGTTTTTCAATGTTCTTCATTAGTTTTATTGTTTTTATATGTGATGTGAAATGGATGTCCCTGCTGGAGCTTTTTTGCTACTCTTAATGAGGATGAATACAAAGATTGTGAAGTTGGTGTTCATTGTGTTTGAACTTTGTATAGAATTTATAAGACTAAAGAAAGGGTGTGTACATGGGATCTTTTTTTTTTTTTCTCTCTCTCTTTTTATTGAAAAGGTGGCTCTTTTCAATTGTAATGGCAGATTCAGTGCAACTGATTGCTTTCCCTTACAGACATCAAATTTGTAAATTGTTTCAAATTCACATAACCTCCCTAAAAGTGAAAGTACAGAGATTTTTCTTTTTACATTATTATTTTCTAAGGTTCGATGCAGAATTTAAAGTACTTCCTCTTCTTTTTTTTTTTTTTACTGGAAAATTGACTATTTTCAATTTCAATAATAGATTGATTGCAACAGTGCTTTCCCCTACAAACATCAAATTTGTAATTTGTTTCAAATTCACATTATTTCTCTAAAAGTGAATGTACACAGAGGTTCTCATGTAGTATTATTCCAATGACTTATTCCAATTAGGCTAACATTTTATGTAGCTATGCATACTCATACCTCAAATTTTAGGACTCTGTTTTTATATATGTTTATAGATTTATTAATAGATAGATAGTACCTCCATGCTACATGAGTTGAATAGCCCATCATAAATTTTCTTTTCAAGGATATAATTGAAATTATAATTTTTAACTTGGTAATTTCAGAAATAATTTTAATTAATATTACTACATTAGAGTTTGTGGATTATACAAAAATTTTAATTTCAAAAATAATATTTATTTCATATTCTAATACTGATACATTAATGAACAAAAAAAAAAATTATATTTTTAGTTAAAAACATAATGTTCAGTGAACATTATAAATTGAGGTTTTCACTTTTTCAGATTGTTTCTCTTCATGTATAGGAGGGGGAGGATGGGCTTGTCGAGGTTAATGCACTTGCAATTCTAGAACAGTCATCCAAGCAAAGCTTATGTGATTCAGAATTCTTTACGAAAAACCACATATGCTAGTAAAAATCACCGCTGATAATTTTAGATCAACGTACCAATTAAGAAGTTCTATTTCAGATCTTACAACACTAATCTTACACATATTTGTTTTACCAAATTACCAAAAGTCGAAAGTTTATGCACTTTCTTAACTTCTATAGGCTATAGTTGCTATCAATAAGTTGATCATAAGTGAAGGCAGAGTTGTACTATTGTTGAAATTGCTTCGAGAAGGAAGGACTAAAGATCAAGAGGCTGCTCCTAAGTAATTGAATTTGCTTAATCATTTTGTATTTGAGACTGTTGACGAGCACTTTGAGAATACTATTTAATGAGCTTTATCAGTCCAGAGGTGATTGGTTTTTCAGTAGATTGGAGTTAATGAATATATAATCATTGTACTATATAATGGTAAGAAAGCTGCTATTTATCTAATTTTCTATGGAAAGCAAATATGAAATGCGTAAATAATGAACCTCTAGATAAGAATCTATGCAAAGAACCACGACATATAAGTATATATACACGATGATCATGCGATAAATATACGGCTTAATTATAAATTTAGTGTATCAATTCTTCAAAATTTTCTATTTCAGTGTCTCAACGGAAAACGTTTATAATTAAGTGTTTTGAAATCAAAAAAATTTTCAATGAAATGTCTTTAATTTTGGTGGGCCACATGAAGCCAAGTATGTAATGTAATATGCTTCGACATGATGTATAATTGTGTGCAAATTAGAAAGTAAAGAGAGGATAGGAAACATGAACTTTACCAAGGAGGACTCTAAACGTCGACCTTTCCCAAGTTTCTATCTTTCTTTTCTTTTTCAGAATAATTCCTCAAAAAAAAATTATAGATTTGAGTATGCATTTCATGATTGCATCAAAATAAATAAATTAATTAATAGTTTTTTGGCGTTTGCTTGCCCATATATAAGCATCCAAATAAACAACAAACATTTATCAAATTTTAAATTTGAAAATATTAACAACAATTATTTATCAAGTTAAAAATAAAAGAAGATAGCTTTCTCACTAACAAATTAAATCCATTTCAAATATTATATGCTTGAAAAAGCTTTTCATTTATAGCATTTCAGATATTCAAAATAACTGCAGGATTTGAATTCGAGACAAGGCGACATAACTCGCGAACCATTTGGTTGACAACAGCAGGAAATGAGGAGTGGAGGACTGAGAGATGGCTTCTCTTCTGGGATCGGATTGCAGGTTAAGGCAAACTGGAGCTGATGAGAGAGAGAGAGAGGGAGAAAATGCATTATTTTTTAGAAAAATGCTCTATTTTTGCATAACGGGATTGTTGTTTTAGAAACGGAGAAAAAGAAGGGGAGAGAGAGGGGGCTTTTGGATGGGTTCAGTGTGTATGAGAAGATAATGGGAACCCACAAAGGGTTTTATAAAGGATGTTATTTTTTATTTTTTAAAATTGCTGATGTATAAAAAAAAAGTGAGTCTCATTTTCGTTTACTTATCTTAGTCAGTTTCTTTGTAATATATGCACGGTTATAAGTGTGATAATGTGTGGGAAAATGTTTAATTGGTGTGAAATATTTTACTTTAGGTGCATAATTAGTCTTTTATAAAGTTGAGAGTACCGTAAAATTAATTTGTCAAAATTCAGGGATCAATCTATGTATTTCGCCAATGAAATGGACAGTGGCAATGGAATTGAGCAATAGACTTGCTGCGTGTGCATGGTTAAACATAAAGGTGCAACATTTATCCTCCGGGGTCATACCTTTTGCAAGTTATATTTAAGAAAGCTTTGGGCCCAAAGAGGTGATTGTCATCTGTGTAATGGAGCATCGAAAATTTTTGGTATTTTTTTAGGTTTTTTATATATTTTCTTTTAAGTTTCCAATATTATTTATAATGACAAAAAATTTCAAATTTCTGTAAACATCCTTTTTTAGCGACTTGTTTGGACTTTTTTTGTTGGTCCAATCACATTTGTACATGTAAATCTGACGTGGCAATCTAACTGTCATCCTATACTGCTTATGTTTGAATAGTTAATGGGCCACACGTGCTATTTGTACTTCCGGTATGCCACGTAAGATAGAGATACCTGATTGAAATTTTTTTTAAAGTTCAAAAGCTTGGTCGTAAACGTTTTCCGTTGAGACACCAGAATAAAAAATTTTAGAGAATCCAAACACTAAATTTATAATTAACTCAAAATATACATGCAAAACATAATTTGGTTAAATAATTTGCAGGTGTAATAGATTATTTAACTTGCTCATTACTTCAGTAATTTTTCTATTTTTCTGATCTTTACCCTTTTGTTGTTGATGAAGTTTAAGACTATAACACAACTTTTCAGAAAGCTACGTACAACCAAATTATCATTTTTCTGCTTTTTATGAAAAACTATCCAATTTATTCAATTTTATCTTCTCTAATCTCCATCAGCATTGACAGACCTGGGACGAGTAGAACTGAAGTAAAAAAAACTGAAGGATTAAAAGCGTACTTCTCATTCTTCATTTTTCCTTATTTCGGAAAAAAAGACTAATAATTATCATTTAAATTTATTTTGTGCAATATAAAGTTCAAAAACCGTCGTTTCAAACTATAAAGGGTATATTCGATAATACTAGCTGTTCCAGTAGTTATTAGCGATTTAATAGTAGTTGTTAGTTGTTTTAGTAGCTGTTAGCTAATAGATGTTAGTGACTAACTGTTAACTGTTTAAATAGTGGTTGAAAAATAAAAGTGTTTAATAAAAACAGCTGTTTGATTGGTTAATAAATTTAAAATAACAAAAAAGGATATTGAAATATTCACCTAAAATTTTCAGTTAAATTCGTTATAAAAAAAAATTACTATATCTAACTTTTCAAAATTTAAGGGAGCAAAAATTTAAAAGTTCACTATTATATAAATAAAATGGAAAATTTTTAATATTTTAAGGTATCAATTATTTTAATTTATAATATTTGTTTGAGTTTAAATATAAATATACAAATAATGTTTTTTTCTTTTACTATCAAATATAAATAAGTTAAAAATAAATATAATAAAACACGTCATGTGATAACAGAAGAATTTTATATTAATTAAAGATAAATATAAGGATAATGTTGTAAAAAAATTTAATAAAAAGAGTGAAATGCTAAACATTAGTTAAGATAACATTTTAAAAAAAACTTTATAAACCTCTAAAAGTTATTCTGTATATCAAGTTACCGAAATTTAGACTAGTCAAAACATTAAACGTTACTTTAAACGCTATTGCTGAAACGCTAAATATCAATTTTTCTCCAAAAGCTTTTCTTTATATTATAACCTAGCTTATTTTCCCATGTCTCTCATTTCTTAATTATCTTTACCGGTTGTCGGATAAACAACTGTTAATTTGCTATTGTGGAATTAATTAATTAATTAATAATTATTTTAAAAATTTCTCATCATAATTTTTAATTTTTTTTTCTCTCCTCTCTCTTCTACCCTTCTCACTCACCCTCCACAACTTTTTCTCTCTAATCTCCATGTTTCCTCTCAAAGATTTTCTTCACCAATGAACAACGATTGACTTAGTCAACAATGTTTTTTCCAGATTTTCTTAGTCAAAACCTCTTCAACAAGGTCAACGTTTGCCTTACAGCCTTAGTTATGAACTCAATCTCATCTCTCTCTCTCTACAACAACCAGAATCTTAGCTTTCAGTAATGCAGTGACAGAATCTGTCATACATAATTTTTTATTTTAAAAAAATAACTGAAATAAATATTAACAGAACTTAGAATTATTTATTATCTTTTACTAACTAAATTACTTTAAATTAAGGAGATATCCAACAATAGTAACTGTATTATTTCTTTCATATCTGAAAGCTTGTATTTCGGATTTGGTCCAACGAATTAAAAATATAGTATATAGCAAAAATTTTTTGGTGGCTCTGGACCCTTTTTTGGCAAGTAATATATATCCAGTTCTTCATGCCACCCATTGAAACCAGAAAATCAAAGATAAACCAAACCCTCGGAGAGAGAAGTGACTGAGAATGAATGACGGCAACCGCTTCTACACCATAATGCTCCACTTTCAAATACCAATGGAGGCAAGCAAGAGACCGCACCTTCCTCATCATCCAACCAAGCAGAAGCACAGCCGCCAACAATGCTCCATTCACTCATCTATAAAATCAATTTTCTTCCTAAAACTTTTCCTTGTATTATAACCAATTACCCAGTAAAAAAAAAAAAAAAAAAACAACTATTTTCCTCCTTTTCCTTTTACCAAAAGGATTACATATCCAAAACGCGTTAGAATACTGGTCCAAGTCATTATAAAATAACAGATTATATCTATATAATCATATTGGCATGGCATAATTCATTCTTTGCTTTCTCTCATCAATCTGCGTTACACTTCAGTTTCTTTCTTTTTTTCAAGTTCGTCGTTGCTTTCTTTTTGAAGTTCTTTAATTCGTTAAAGTGAATTTCTGTCGTAGTTAGAGATCAAGCTAAAAGAAAATGGAAAACTCTCATAATTTACCCGTAGGTTATAGGTTTCGACCTACTGATAATGAGATAATCCTTTATTACCTCTTCAATAAAGCTAGTGGTGTTTCAATTCCTTCAAACCCTATAAAGGATTTTGATCTTTATGATGATAATGATCAAACAATGATGAAAGTGTTTCAAGATACAAGTCAAGAAAAAAACTTTTACTTTTTTACTAAGTTAAAGAAGAAGCATGGCAAAGGGATGAGGATTCAAAGAATTACGGGTTTAGGCACTTGGAAAGAAACTCAAAAAGAAAAGAATATAAGTTGGGAAAATCAAATTATTGGCACTAAAAGAGGATTCAAGTTTGTGCCTAAGAAAGGTTTTGAGTTAAATAGTAGGTGGCTTATGGATGAATTCAGGCTTCATTCTTCCTTACTCAACCAAACAAACGTAAGTTTGCTTAATTATTGTTTCTTAATTATTAATTTTTTTTAGTAGTTTGAAGAATTAGGGTATTGATTATAGTTACAGATTTCTTGTTTTGTTATTTATGATCTAATCTATTTATTCTTGTTTGTTTTGCGCAGCAATTTGATGAGTACGTAGTTTGTCATATAAAGAATGAAAAAGAGTTAAGGTCCAAGTCACATTTTTATGAAGAAGACAATAAAGTAACTCAAGAACAAGAAGCCTCTCTTCAATCTGATTCTGGTACTTTCAATCTCAAATTACATCAACATGGCAGCGAGCTTATGGATACGATCTCTGATAATCTCTGGACTACTCAAGAAGTGTTGGAACCTCTTCAGTTAGATATGATCTCCGATAATGACTGGATTACAGAAGAAGAGTTGGAAAAATTGCTGCTAGATTAGGGATCTTCTCATTAGTTGTCAACTATATAATTGCAATCTCCTCTCATGTTTCAATGGTCCACGTAGAGTGAAAAATATAATTGCAATCTAAAAAGTGAGTCTTTCCGTTGTTTTTCGATTTTTTTTTTTTTTTTTTTTTTTGTCTTGCTACGCTTGTTTTTCGATTTTTTTTTTTTTTTTTTTTTTTTACCATTGTTTCGATTGCTTGATTCTGTAAGGAATTTCAACTCCTTTTTTTTTTTTTTTTTTTTTTTTTTACCAGTTGTTTAGATTGTTGATCTGTAAGGAATTTCACTCCTTTGCTACTGCGAATGCTAGCTTTTGCAAAAGTTTATACACAGTATAAATCTTTAATGGTAAATTTACTTTAGAAAGCACATAATTAACAAAAATAAAAATAAAAAATTATTTTTTCTATTTAGAAAATCGCACTGTTATTGAAAATCTTACTGTCAAAAAACACTGATAATTTTATTTTACTCTGAATTCAACACGTTTGTTTACATTCTTCTAAATACTTGCTCAAATAATTTTCACCATATATAAGGGATGGTAAGAACAAGAACTTGGAAGTCACAGACACTCTTTAGTTTCTACGTACATGGAAGAAATAAGAAAATTAAAAACATTAATTTATCTTTAATTTAATTTTTTATATTTAGAATATATCATATTTTCTTAAAATTTTGATCTTTGATCAACACATTTATGATTATACTTTTCTTTCTTTATGCAAAATAATTTCAGAAATTATAATGGTACTATTGGTTCTTTTCTAAAGTAAAGAGATGTAAGTAGCAGGTACCTGTGAGTCATACATTACATTACCCACTTATCCTCACATCAACCATTAAAATCTCATCCATTCAATCCATAATCTAAAACATCCCTCTCTGGCCTCTAACCACTTCTTCTAACTCTGTCCTGCAATAGCGCTTCATTACCCATTTCTACAAAACACTCTCCTCTTCCATTTATCTCCTTTTCTTCTTTAATTTCTTAATATCACAACCATGGCAGCTGCAGTAACTGCTGCAGTCTCCTTTCCCTCTTCAAAGTCCACTTCTCTCCCTTCAAGAACCTCCTCTATCATATCTCCAGAAAGAATCACCTTCAAGAAGGTAATACAGTTCATGCAGTTATAAATTTATGGCATTTTAGTGTTTTATGGAGATATCATGAAATGGTTTCTTTTTCCTTTTCTTTTTAATATTCAGGTCCCTGTTTATTACAGAGATGTTTCTACTGGTGGGAGAGTGGTTTCTATTAGAGCCCAGGTCACTACTGAGGTTGAGGCCCCTGCTCGGGTTAAAAAGGAATCAAAGAAAAATGAGGAAGGTGTGACTGTTAACAAATTTAAGCCTAAAAACCCTTACATTGGTAGATGCCTTTTGAACACTAAGATCACTGGTGATGATGCTCCTGGTGAAACTTGGCACATGGTTTTTAGCACTGAGGGTATGGATTCTAGATCATTTGTCACTTTTGGTAGATCTTTTTTATTATTATCATTGATTGGAGTCCTAGAATAGTGAACTTATATATGGGATATTGCTTAATTTGTATATTGATCAGTAGCTAGACTGTTCTAATTCTTGATATTTTAGTGTAAAAGTTTTAAATTGGGAAGTTAACAAATATATAATTCTGAAATCTGGCAAACTTTCTCCCTTTTGTATAATGATCTTGAGATTATTCATTAATATGTAACTTGATCTTGGAGCTGAGTGGCACTTTTGGGTTTGCTTAATTTAGGAGAGCTTCCCTACAGAGAAGGGCAATCCATTGGGGTGATTCCAGATGGTATTGATAAGAATGGGAAGCCTCACAAGCTTAGGTTGTATTCAATTGCAAGCAGTGCTCTTGGTGACTTTGGGGACTCCAAAACTGTGAGCTCCTTATCTAATTTGATTCACACTTGAATCTGTATTTCCTTTCCAGTTGACCATTATTCTTGAAATGATTATGAAATTCATGTGAAATTGGCATCTTATGGATCTCATTTGGAAGTCCTTATTTTCATTTTCGTTATGAAGCAAATGTGTATTTTCCTCTTATGAATTAAATTTTATAAATTTCAGTATATCTAAACCAAATTCTTGCAAATGTATTTCAAATTCAATATATTCCACTACTTGTTTTCTCTTTGTTTATGTTTTTGATTCATTGATGATCTAATATTAGTGATCATCTTTGTTCAGGTTTCTCTTTGTGTAAAGCGGCTTGTGTATACCAATGAACAAGGAGAAATTGTAAAAGGAGTCTGCTCAAATTTCTTGTGTAAGACTAACACAAGCCTATTTAGACTAAATTACTTCAATTATTTGCTTTAGTTTTTGATAATTCGTGCATATCAGATTAATGGGAAAAAACTTTTGATAATAGATTCAAACATTGTATTAAGATCCTCAGCCCTCGGCTAACAATGTAACATTGGATTCTTGCATTTCAGGTGACTTAAAACCTGGAGCTGAGGTAAAGATTACTGGACCAGTTGGGAAAGAAATGCTTATGCCTAAAGATCCCAATGCCACAATCATCATGGTAACCTTTAAATCTTATCATATTAAGGTTATCCATTGTGGTGATTAGCATGACCCATATATTAATTCTTGCACTGGATTTTATCTCTGCAGCTTGCAACTGGAACTGGTATTGCTCCTTTCAGATCATTCTTGTGGAAGATGTTCTTTGAAAAGCATGAGGACTACAAGGTAAAATAAATAACCACCGTGTTTCTTTTTTCTTTTTTTCTTCTTTTTACCTTCATGCTGACATAAAATGCAGTAAAGAACATGCATTGCATAAATTAACCTGGTTCTTTTGATGCTCTTTAGTTCAATGGTTTGGCATGGCTCTTCTTGGGTGTCCCCACAAGTAGCTCATTGCTTTATAAGGAGGTGAGGCAAACACTATAACACTAACCGAATGCATAGAATGTAATAGTATCTTGACTATTGAGAGTGAAACAGAAATCTCCTGTGCCATATATATGTTCAGGAATTCGAAAAAATGAAGGAGAAGGCCCCAGACAACTTTAGGCTTGACTTTGCTGTAAGCAGAGAGCAAACAAATGAGAAAGGAGAAAAGATGTACATCCAAACTCGCATGGCACAATATGCAGAAGAACTCTGGGAAATGCTAAAGAAAGATAACACTTTTGTCTATATGTGTGGATTGAAGGGAATGGAAAAGGGAATTGATGACATAATGGTCTCATTGGCAGCTAAAGATGGTGAGAAATATACCAAACAGGGTGTTACATGAATTTTTGCCTCTTAACCCTTTCTAGTTTGAAATATAGAATTAATTAATAGATGACAGAATTTGCCAAACAGGGTCTTAAACTTTATTTTTGCTCTACTTTCAGGCATTGATTGGTTGGAATACAAAAGGCAGTTAAAGAAAGCTGAGCAATGGAATGTTGAAGTCTATTAATGTGCACAATTACTTGTACAAATTCCTATTTTTGATTATTATGATATATGTGATTTTCCATGCATTGTGTAGATAGGTAATGTGACTGTAATTTATCAATAAAAATTTTTGCCCTTTTTTATAAACAAGGTGAATGTAGTACTATGGCTCTTAATAGAACTACTTACTTCTAAAGGAAAATGGATTTACACAAATTACAATGAATGAAGCCAATTTCTATTAGATCATTATATGAGTTGAAGTTCATTTCAAGGTTTCTCTCTTCTCTCTTTTAGTTGACTAATGAGATTCTCTTTCCGTTCTATATATATGGCTCACTTTCCTTTTTTATTTGTCTCAAAACTTAGTCTTATTTTCTTTTTTAAAAGATTATTTATTGTTTAATTTGTTAATATACTCGTATTTAATGTATATCTATATTTTCAATTGTATATACATCATTTACTATTAACATGGAGTATTTTTGAAAAAAAAAAAAAAAGAAAAAAATATAGTTTAACTATATTAACTAATTGTCTTTAATCTATATGAAAGTTAAAATAGGTATATTTATATGAGATGGAGGAAGTATTGCTTAACTATATTCTTCGACACCTTTAGCCTCTTATGAATGAAATACACCTTTAGCCTCTTATGAATGAAATAATAATAACATTCAAAATGATTTGGTCTAATGGTTGATGTGCATTAAATTACGTACTTAGTCGCAAGATTGATGTCATGACTCCGCCCTGGTTAGTATTGTCCGCTTTGGGCCCTTCCGTACGAGGTCACCCTCACGGCTTTGTCCCTTGAGCCATGGAGACAGATCCATGCACCCATATAATAATTGAACCAAAAATAAATGATGTAAAAAGCCCTGCAAATTATGCACAGGACTCATTTGCACTGATATGGGAGCACTAAGGGAGATTTTCTTGATTGGCGACTAGAGATGTATACCATTACAATAATGTAAAACCACGCACATGCAAATGTACTATTATAATGAGACCACCCAAATCAGAAGAGCACTTATTTGTAGATCTACAGAGTGACATGTAAACACTAAAGAAGCGTCGTATATAGAAACATACTCTAAATAACATACATAATCAGAGAAAGCATAGGGAGAGGGATGACACACACCAACCACTATAAACCGAATTAGAAATTAGAAGACCAAAATCTATCCTTGATTTAAGATTCAATGTAAATGACATGTTGATAGAGTCTTGAAGTTCATTTCATAAGTTTTTCTCTTCCTCTCTTTTAGTTTTTAGGCACCTAATGTAATTATACCTCATAAATACTCGGTCTCAAGGTAATAATGATGTGCCTACACATTACCACATGTCTCATGTTTATAGTTCTCGCTCCAGAAAATAGTATATTTGCTTATTTCTATATCTTTAAAAGATTTGGACTTTGTTTTGTAAGTATTTGTTATAAATATACTCGTTGATTATGTTAATAGTAATTATCTCAGACTATATAGATATATTGCATCAACAGAATCATAATGATCCAATATGAAAATATAATCAAATCAAATACAATATCATAATTATAAGAAGCACCTAGCACGTAAGCATCTATATTGAGCAATAATAAGATAGAAGAAAAAATACTAAGTTGATATCTATACACATGTTCACACCATAGTAATATAGGCTCTAATATATCCTTATAACAGCATGTAACTGCAAAGAACTTAAACAACATATTTCATGGCTGACTTATCTTTCAAAATATAAACCATCCTAGTTTTTTTTTTTTTTTTTCCATCTCTTATTCTTGATCTTAAAAAGCACATACTTTCTACAGTTTCTTTCAATTTTATTTACAAAATGCAAATTCATAATGCTATTAATTGTAATCTTTAATTGTAGGGTATTGGAGTGAGAGATAAGAGCACCTATTGCTTACTAATATTCCTCGACAACCTTTAGCCCTCAGTGCAGGAAAGTACAAACACCACTTTGATAAAGCCTGTCCCCTTTCTAAAAATTATTTGTGAAAACTCAGGTTATCTCACTATAAATCATATCAAATATCAGAATCATTGGCTCTATCTTATAGAGTTTATTTGAATTATGTGCTATCCATGACATAGTATACGTATTCCTTAGCGCGGACTAATGAATAACTTGGATGTCACTCAGGTATGGCTCCAATACATCCACGTCCAATCCCATTGGAGTAAGAGTTAATTGATCCAGCCAATATTGAGGCTCATCATCTCTGAGCCTGTTGCCATAACGATGCGCCGAGATCAACACGTGACTCACCCAACTTCGAACTAAATGGCTCCTTTCGCTCTCGAAAGACCATATTGGGAAGATATCTAGGTGTGCTCATGTGCTAAAGCAACTACGACACACACGACAAACACGCTAAGTCCGACGTATTCAAAGAATTGAGAAAAGACGCTCCCAAACGTCACAGTCCTATTAAATGGATAAACTAAGAATGATGACGCACACAACTAACTAACTCTTCGTTCTCTCTCTTCTCTTCTTCTCGGTCAAACCGTCATGTGGTCGATCTTCTCCCAATCCTCCTAGGCTGAATTTTGAAGACTGATGGGGTTTTTCCGATGAGCCAATTTGGCAAGAAGTTTTAACGATATTCGCCTTCTCAATCCAACGAGTTAAAAAAAATATAATAATAATAATAATAAGAATAAGCCATGAAATTGCTAGACAAAATTGGTATGTTATTCGCATGAAGATTAGCAACTTTGTCACATCAAAAAACTAGAAAGTCCTGGGTCCCGTTGGACAAAGTGATGTACCAGTGTATGTAAGATGAAGAAGGAGAAGGCCACGATAAATAATAAAGACGCCATAACGTGAATCCTCGAAGTCAACCCGCTGGCAGGACGATCCAACTCATTATCCACTGTATCCTATTGACACCTTAGATCACCAGAATGCATGATCAGACATCTTGTTGAGAGCAGAGAGAAGGGGAAGGAGGAAAAGGGTAGGAGATAGTGGGTAAGACCAGAAAAGAGCAGAGCAGAAGACGAGATATACGCATGCAAACACATATATGTTTGATAAGGAACCTAATTATTATACCTAAGTTAACATACTTGGCTGGGATAAATGGTTATTTTGGCTGTTTCACATAAATCGCGCGAGTGCGGATTAGGTTTAGCCAATTAGGGTTGTGCTTCCTTACGGTAAGTCAACAAGTAGAATATGACGTTGTTACCTGTTCTTATCTTGCTCACAATACTTTTCTCGTTTCACATCCTCTATATACCTATTTATGTTATATAACAACTCAGATTTTCTAGAACTAGCATTCACTCCTCACTAGAGAATATTTATAAATGCTCACCACCTTAGTGTTTAGGGACTTTATCGCTTCTTCAGAATCTAATGGATAACATGCACAAAATGGCCGCCTGCAGTCGAATTGGAGGATATATCTATCGGCTATTGAGAGTCTTATATGATTGCATCAGGTCAAAGGGCGCTTAGATATAGGTAAATATATTTATAGCACTAATATATAGAAAAAGAAGAGACTAAAATAATGAGAGAGAGATTATAATAACTAAAAGAATGCACATAAGGGAGCGACGCCAGAGAAACATACACTGCTTATATACAGCTATTTTTGTGCAATTCTATCATCAAACTTCAACATATTGGTCAATATTAGACCATCAGAGTAGGGGAGAGGCGGCTTACTCGTTTTGCTCTATTCCCTCCTCATTGGAGGTACGGCAAACTCGACTACTCTTCTGTAGATTGTGCATCAGTTGCTTTGCGCTCAGACAGATTGCTACTCTGCATACTTACGACCGAAAATAATGTTTAAATCTTGTTAACTCTCCATGTATTTCCGCCTCTTCGTTTGCGAAGTGCCTCATTTTCATTAACGCTCTTTAAACTAGGTGAAGACAAGAAGAGGAAGAGGGTTGGGTCTCCAATAGTCCTATGCGTGGTGGTGGAATTTATGCGTGGTCATCATCGCGCAATGTTGAAGGAGCGCGAAATAACGACGGTATGGTATAATAAGTGTAGTTAAGGTAAGCGAGTGGACTGTTGGAGCTGAGTGGGGCCTGGGTGTTTAAACATAATGCATAGGATCACAGAAAAATTTTTAAGCAGCTCTCTGGTTCTCAATCATTGCCCTTAGAGATTATGCATCGAATAATCGTGTTAAGTTGAATATACCAAATGGTTGCTGCTGTTTAATGCGGGTTTCTCGCATTTTGCCTCCGGATTGTCCCGCGAAGCTAACTAATGGATTGGGTGGAGGTTAATTGGAGGTGCGTGGATCCGTTAGCGATAGTTCAGACAGTATAAGAGGAGTATACATGCTAGCTATAAGAATAGTTTGGACGAGAGAGAGAGATAATACGGACACTCATGAAGCAGCTAAGAGGATAAGTAATGTAACCAGGTGAGTAGTAGGGGCTATGAACTAAATATACTGGAACGTGTGGGTAGAGGAGGAATTATGTGGAGCACTTTTGGTTCTATGCGGATATAGCCTACTCAGATAAATATGGGGTCTGTGGAGTGGTAACACCAGTGGCTGGTAATTTGGAAGGTGTCAGGAAAGTGAAGGCGGTGGACGGATGGCGGTGGTGGCTTGAATATGTGTGGAAAAGCAAAGATGGATGGATGCTGGCTCGAACTGGTGGGGAATGGTGAAGCAAAGATTATTCGCGAAGGACGAGCGGATGAGTGAGCCCATAGAGCCAAACAATCTCTGTATGGAATTCGAGGACTCTTGATGTGGAAGAAAGAGTAATTTTATAGGTTTGAGAAAAATTATATAAATAACGTGCGCTTTTTTGTTAATACTATCTATCACGCTTTGTTAGTTAATCGTATATTTTTTTTGAATTTCTTCTTTTGGTACTGGAGAGCAATGCCGCTATCTATATACATAGGATTTGTGTTGAATGATTAAACATATCCTCCGTCTGGTAGATAAGAGTAATTTCATCCGCTCACCAAGTTTCTCCTCTTTAGACGCACAATATTGCAACATTATGGTAGATTTCGTAATCAACATATTTGCATTTGCTTCCTTTTCAAGACTTTATTGTTTTTAATTCGTAAAAATTGAGCTGTTCTCAATTTTAGTTAAAAGTGTGTCTTTTTTTTTTTTTTTTTGGGTCCGATCTATACATAGGATTGTGTTGAAGAATCCTCCGTCTGGTAGAGGAAATTTTCCCAGTTTTGACTAATACATATGGTGATTCGGATAAAAATTAGGCTTTGTCCTTCAATGACCGTTTGATAATTTTCTAATTGAGCTGTTCTCATTTTAGTTAAGTGTCAATCATGTCTTTCTCACTGCCTTATAAATTTCTAAATATTCAGGACATGTGATGCTATTGTATTCTTGCATTAATCTGCTGTTTTGATTATATGAAATTCAAATTTTGTCTGCAATTAGTTCTTCAATTATATCTTGCATTTGTATCAGTTGTGTTATCATTCATACACCTTTGCAGTAACTGAAGTAGGGGTCATATGTTTATCTTCCAAATAATTAGAATTTGACTTGGTAGAATCTTTCAAAATGGCTGTCTTTCACTTCTGATGTTATATGGAATTGTAGCTCATATCCTGCATTTTGTATTCTAATGTTCAAGTATGCATTCTTTTTCCTCAAATTGTTTTGGGTTTTAGCCTGGGAGGCAACCTTTGTCTCAATGTTTTCGAGATTCTGGGTAATTTATTTTCAACTGGTTGTTCATAGTTAATTGAATGTGCTGATTTAGTTTAGTCCGGCTTTTCTAGTTCTAGAGATTAGACAAGCTGGTAAGGATGTTTCGTTTGGATTTGCCAATAAGTATAGGCCATGTAGAATATGGCTGCAACACATTTTACCACTTTGTAACCTGGAAGTAGTATCACGCTGAGTGTATTCTCCCTCTAAATTTTGCAATTACAGTAGATGGTAGTCTGTAGTTTATATTGTATTGTATTGTAAAATGATGGTAGTTTTGGAGACTGAACGGAATTGATAGTATAAGTGTGAAGGGTTGAATTTATTGTTGGCAGTTAATGTGAATTTTGCTCTTAGATGAACTCCCTTGTTTGTGGATTGCAAATCCTTGTGCATTTTCACAATTTTTTTTTTTCCTTCTGCAGTTTACCTTCTACAAATTGTACTATTTATCATTATATACAATTTTGTGTTACTGATACAACATAAATGCAAACTTGTATACAAAACGCTAGACTGCCAGTTAGCTTGGGTAGTGAAAATTACTTGTGGCGAACAGGTAGATTGGCCTTATTTGCATATCACGCAATATGGAATATGACGGGAATGTTGAATTTATAATATTTTTAGATTTAGGCGTCGTTGATTTAAATGCCGTGCGTCTCCTATTGCGAAATTTGATAGGAACAGGTAGCTGCATGTCCATGGCTTTGCCTGTGCTAATAGTAGGGGTTGAGCCGGAGTGTTCTATTTTTATATTTTCTCCCATCCTTCATAGGGCAGCATGGCTGGGACTTGGGTGGAGTTTCAGGCCTTTTGATGGTTGAGCCCTTGCAGTGTGGTTTTGGGCTTTAATTGAAGGACTTGGTGGCTGGCTGACTTCTTGGAGTACCACAAATTCGTGTACTTTGGAGTAGATTTCTTTTTTTTTTTTTTTTTTTTTTTTTCTTTTTTTTTTTTTTTTGTTGGTGCTAAAGTTAATTTGTGATTTCCCTTTTTAAAAAAAAAACAAACTCTACTTTCAGCTATATATATATTCCCTTGAAATCATATTATTTGCTTTCGACGAGGATTATAGCATTAAGCTTAGGTTATTATTTACTACTTTGTGTTTGGGTCTCTTTTTTTTTTTTTTTTTTTGTGGTGCTAAAGTTAATTTTGTGATTTCCCTTTTAAAAAAAAAAAAACTCTACTTCAGCTATATATATATTCCCTTGAAATCATATTATTTGCTTCGGAGGATTATAGCATAGCTTAGGTTATATTTACTACTTTGTGTTGGGTCTCGTTTGTAGCCTCCAAGGCCCGTTTTAGTTATATTCGAAAACTGAATTAATGTGGGAGGACTGGAAAGCTTGGGCCCTGGGCCTGCCTTGACAGAATAATCGCAAACAGAGGAATCTTTTCCTACCATTTGCGAACTACTTTTGCTCCCATTAACCGAGTACTGTCCAACCCAGCCCCAAAGTCCATATGATTGGCTTACAAAGTCTACCCACAAATCTCAAAGCGAGATTTTTATTCCTGCAGTGCAATTTGCAAAGATAGGACAGTGTCATGACTGTCAAGTTGCTCGCTTGTGCAATTGAAATTAAGTAGAGCCTGTAAAAAGACACAAGCAGCAATTCTGTATTTCATTTTTTGACCTCTCTTTAAACAAGTTGACAAAGAAATATATATATTTTTTCTTATCTTTTCCACTGTCCCAAGGGACATCTGAACTCAGTTTATTGGGATTTGAAGGAATCCTCTTTAAGCGGTTAAAAAGTAAAATTCATTTCTAATTGATTTATTTGACCTCTAATGACCTAGATTCTTTCCTCCTCTCTTTCTTTCTTTCTCTGACCTTTTCTTCCCTTCCATCAAATTGAATTCTAGTCATGTGCTGTGCAGAATATCACCATATCATCTACCTGTTTTGTTTCTATTTCAGTACGTGAATTTGGAGCCCTCTTGCTAGTTGATGCCCTTTTCTGTAACTGTAACAACAGAGTTTGCAGAATCTCAATGCATCCTTTGCATACTTCCAAAAGCCTGGCCTATATATTTAATTTTTTAAAATTTTAATTTAATTTAATTAATTTTTTTAATATATAATTTTCTGTCTGGCATTTACGAATGGTTAGCTAGAGAGAGAGAAAGAAACAACCTATCTTTCCCTTTAGCTTAAGAAAGCATTAATCAGACAGTACTAAACTACAAAAACATGACATACTCCTCCATACTATGAACCGACCTTACTCTTATTTGGTTTGCATGTGCTGTGCTTATAAATACGTCCCCTTTCTCCATACTCCTACCACATGAATCCCACTTTTCTCCCTTTCCACTTGCTAATTCCCCTACTTACCTATATATATTTTTTCTTCCCCACTCCCAACATTTCCATACCATCTTTTACAAACTTAAAATCTCTTCTTCTCCTCCTCACTCTTCAATGGCCCTTTCTCACCTCCACTTTCCTCTCTTCTTTCTTTCTTTCCTTCTCATTTCTTCAGGTAACTTTCAATTGCCATTCACAATCTTTCTTTTTAGATATTGTTTTAGTATCATCACATAAAAATTCATTGGTACATCTACACTGTATTTTTGCACGGGATAACGTCAAACTAGTATCATTAAGTCATAACTCTTTTTTTTTTACGCTATATGTTTGCGCGGGATAGCGATAACAATAATTAAGTCTTAGTTCTAAATTTTTTAATATTTTTCAACTAATTAATTCTCCCTATCTTTTGATTAATTTGATTTAAGTGAATTGAATTAATTTTAGTTAATCTTTTTATTTAAAATTTAAATTGTATCAATTTCGCACCAAAATTATATTCTTATATCGTTTGTGATTTTATATGGCGGTGCTACATTATTTCTCAATTGAAGCCATTTTTTGTCACATAGGTGCATATTCAGCCACGTTTACCATCACAAACAAGTGCAGCTATACAGTTTGGCCAGGAATACTTTCAAACGCCGGCACGGCGCAACTCTCCACCACTGGCTTCGCTCTTCAACCAGGCGAATCGAACTCCGTCGCAATCCCAGCCTCTTGGTCTGGCCGTTTATGGGGCCGAACTCTCTGCACAGAAGATACCACAATAGGCAAATTCACTTGCTTAACAGGCGATTGTGGGTCTAATTCTATCGAATGCTCCGGTGATGGCGCCGCCCCTCCAGCTACCCTTGCAGAATTCACTCTTAACGGAGCTGATGGTCTCGATTTCTACGACGTCAGCCTCGTTGACGGCTACAACCTTCCAATGCTAATAACACCACAAGGCGGCACCGATGGTAATTGTACGATAACCGGTTGTTCGGCGGAGTTGAACAATTTGTGCCCGACCGACCTTAAAGTAATGGACAGCGGAAGCGGAGAGAGCGTGGCGTGTAAAAGCGCGTGCGATGCGTTTGGGGATCCGCAATATTGCTGTAGTGGGGAGTATGGAAATCCTAATACTTGCAAGCCTAGCTCCTACTCAGAATTCTTTAAAAATGCTTGTCCTAGAGCTTACAGCTACGCTTATGACGACGGAACCAGCACTTTTACTTGCGCCGGAGCTGACTATGCCATCACATTTTGCCCTGCACCTTCCACCAGGTAATTCCTCCTCCAATTTTCAAAATTTAGTGTGAGTCTTTTTTTTATATGATTTAAAATTGGGAAATGCTGGAAATCCAATTATTTTTCCAAAATGTTTAATTAATATAGGAAAATAAAGAAAAAAAAATCTGAGCTAGCCAATGCTGTGATTTCTTTAAGGCGTTTTTGACCTATAAGGAGGTCGGTCGGTCGGTCGGTCGTTAAAGGATGGGACCTTTTCCCACTTCTGGTTTCTGATTGTCTGAGTCTCAGTATCAGTATGTCCTGCACGTCTTAGTTATTTATTGTTAAGTTATACAAAATTTTTTTTTAAAATTTTTTTTTCGTAATCTGAATTTGGTGACGGTGGTTGCAGTGTTAAGTCGGCTAATAGACAGTATCCAGAGGCGGTGGAAGTCTCGGCCGGCACTCGTATCACGTCACCTTACTCCATTTATGGCGGCTATCTGGCGGTTGTGGCAACTCTTATGAAAATTATATTTTATTTACATCTATAAGCGAAAGTCAAACATTTTTCCTTCGCGACAAGGTGAATTTCACTTCTGAAAAAGACATTATCAGGTGAGATTCACGACCCGAAGTGATAAATTGATGGAGAAATTAGATAATTGAATTGAAGAATTGCACGATTCGGCAGCAATTATGAGAAAAATCGAGGAAGATTTTGCATAATTTGCGGTGAATAGATGTGATGGGAATCGTAATACATAATAGAATGGAGAAAACGGTAAAGGCCACATCAGCAATCACGCTTGTGATTTGGACAAAGACAAGAAAGAAAGAAAGAAAGAGACGCATTAGTGTAGAAGCAAATGAGAGCAACGAACCAAAAGTGGGTTTTCATGTTGATTTGGAGATTGTAATATTTAATTATTATATTATATTTGTATTGCATACCGTTATTATTAGCTGGATAATCTAATTTTATGTTTCTTAACTTTTGCCTAATAATAATGCCAACTTTGATTAGTTCACATTCGTTGGTCCTTTTAATCTAACCCAAGCGTTTTCAATTCGCTGTCACCTCTTACAGTTGCAAATTTGTTTAATGTAATATACATGTATGGTCCACGTTATTGCTGCGGTTCGATTATTCATTATATATATTTATGTATATTATACTTGTATTGCATACCGCTTATTCGTAGCTGGATAATCTAGATTTTACTGTTTCTTAACTTTCTGCCCTAATACATAATTTGCCAACTTTGATTAGATTCAACACTTCCGCTTGGTCCTCTTTAATCTAAACCCAAGCGTTTCTCAATCCGGCTGTCACCTCCTTTACCAGTTGCAAATTTTGGATTTAATGCTAATAACATGTATCGGTCCACGCTTATTGCTGCGGCTTCGATTATTCATCTATATATATAATATATATATATCATATATATATATGTATGTAATTTGGCTTTTCGTGACAGGAACGATATTTAGACAGAGAACGGTTTCTGCGATTAATATTAAATTTTAGGGTCATCTTTGATTTATATATATATATATATATATGTATGTATTGGTTTCGTGACAGAGATATTAGAAGAGAAGGTTTCTGCGATTAATATTAAATTTATATCTTTGATTCGGTTAATAATAAATCGTTGGACTTTGATCTTAAAAATTCAGTTTCAATCAATAAGTTATGAAATAACATTTATCAAATTGACGGGATCTTTGATTAAGAACTAATTAACTCTTTCAACAATAATAATTTTATCTCTTTACTAGTAATGGGTCGAGTATCTACAATTATCTAATTATTCCTGACAATCGATTTAATATAGCGGATAATGAACAACATCGTGGTAATTTAGATGTTACTTGTTAAATTATCGAACCTAGCAATTTCGGTGAGCAAAAGAACCGGCCACATCGAATTAAAAATCGAACTGCACTAGCTCAGTTCAATCGGTCTGCTTATAAGAAATATAATTATCGGTTTAGATGGTTTAACTAAATTTTCTTTCATTTTTGGTTTGATTTTATAGAAATCGGTCAGTTAGGCTGAAAATCGATTAAACTGATCAGACCAAACCAACATATACTAGTTATTGATTTTGCAACTCACACGGTGAAGACTGAAGAGCTACAGATATAGCTAGGGCTAAAGACTTTTCGGGCTATTTAATATTGTATTTTTGAGTCCAAGTTTTCGGCTTAGAATGGGCTCATACGGCGATCAAGCTACTTTGGGCCTCACAGATTTTTTTATTTATTTATTAAAATAGTAAAAAGATAATAGTATAATAAATTCTAGAATTAAATGGAGAAAATTATTTATTGAACATACAAATTTACTAATTTTAATACATTTTCCTTTTGTTTATGCCACATAGAAATTTAGTTACATATCCTATGAATAAATTATTACCATATTCAATTTCGTTTTATGAGGTGTTGCAACCCCCACTTCAGCATTATTTATCAAAGTAAAAAAAAGAGTATAATATTTTAATCTGAATTAGTTAATTATTGACTTGGATTCAAGTACTCTATTCTTGGTGAAAAAATAATTACTGTATTAAATGAAAAAATAAAAATATAATAATAAATAAAGAGAATATAATAAAGATTATATGGGACGACTTTCTCCGATTTAAGAAACTAACTATATATATATATATATAAAGGATGGGGTATATGGGACGCTTTTCTCCGATTTAAGAAGAAAGCGGTGAACGGTATGTTAGTAGTAATATAAGAGTAAGTATATTGAGGAGGAAATATCTTTAGATTTAGGCCTTAAAAGCGTTTAATTGCTTCAAATGGCTTACTCTGTGTGGTGAGGGAGAAAGAGTGAAGAATAAATCTCTTTCTTTTTATAATAATAATAATATTATATATATGTGAGAAAATTATAGGCAGAACTAAAAATTTAGTCACAAAGATTGCTTATCGGGGTCTCCCTTCTTTTCTTTTCCTTGCTTTTTTTTTATTTTTTTTATAATTTTCATATTTTTTTTTTTTTTTTATAATTTTCATATCAATCTTTTTATTTCTCTAGCCTTCTTTTCTCTTCCTTCTATGCTTTTTATCTCTCTTATTCCTAAGTTATCTTTTTCTACCTCTATATTTCATTTAAGAATACTTCAAACAATTCTCACATGTTAAATCAAATTATAAATTTATCAAAAAAATATGAAATTAAGTTGAGTTTCTCATTTTAAGTATCATCACAAATATTAAAATTTATATAAATTCTATTTCATTTTAAAAATCTTAACTGTGACTAAATTCCGAGCTGGATTAGACAGTCTCTGATAATAACGTCCGAATACCGATGGTTTATAAAAAAAAACATGTGGAATTAGTTTTCAATTTTAATTTCATTAAGTATTTATCATTGGACGAGAGATTAGAAACTCAAGTCTAACTTCAGAACCTAAGTGATAATTAGCTAAATGTTAATAAGTAACATGCGTCTAAGTTTACAAATCATGACATAACCTAATAGTAAATACATATATGACATGACGATAGATCTACGATAAAATCCCTGCTCCTCTAATATTCAAAAAAAAATATATATATATGCATCTAAGTTTTGACTTGTTAACGCCTGTATAATTGGTAGCAATTGGCTTATAAATATTGGTATTTGGTGGCCGTGAATGTCTTTTTGTTTATATATTATGCAATGTATTTTTTTATTTTTAATGTGAATATATTATTTTTTATTCTAATGTCTCATGTAAATAAAAATATTAATTAATTTTTTAATAATATTAAATAAAATTATTATTTTAAATAACTATAAATAAAATTATCAAAAAATATTAATTGTAATATTTTTTATTAGTAATTATATTTCTGAGGTTAATGAAATTCAAATAAAATAAATTAACTAGCATTTGATAAAAAAAAAAAATGCTACGTAGCTGAATTAAACAGTTGTTTGAGATTTTTATCAACTATCAACTGCAGATTAAAAAACATACCAAATACTTCCTCTGTCTCAAAATATAAGTCGTTTAAGGTTTTTGCACAAATATTAATAAAACAATTAATTCTCCTGAATTTTAATAATTATGGTATTAAATATAAATAAGGGTAATATTGAAAAAATATTATTTATTGCTCCTTAAAATACTCAAAACGACATATATTTTGAGATAAAATAAACAATAAAAAATAACTTATATTTTGGAAAAGAGAGAATATCTATTAGCTAGCCGTTGAATATTAAATCAGCTATCAATTACATATAGGGATGACCACAGTTTCGGAACCACCGATTTTAGTTCTAAATAATATGAAATTAGAATCGAACCGAAGATTAACAATTTTGATTCTAAAAATGGGAATTTAGCCATCCCTAATTGCATGAATCACCTAAATCGAAGACCCTCTAAATACATATATACGAAGACCCTCTTAATAACATATATTATATATATAATTATATATATATATATACTATATAGTATCTAAACCACAGATGAAGTTGTGATTGAATGACCAATGAGAATATATTAACCACAGATGAAGTTTGATTGAATGACAATGAGATTATCTTTAAAATTACAAAATTACAAGTTCAAACATTAATTAAAGTATAATAATTAAATAAAAGAAAAGGTATGCATGGTGTCATCAATGCATTAAGAAAGCAAATTGGACAAAAATTCATAGCTGTTTGCAATATATTCTAAAAGCGGTCATAAGCTTTTTTCAAAACCAGCTATATAATTAAGAAAAGAAGTTTTTTGTTTGGCCAATGAGATTAATTCTCCTAATTGCAATTACAACTAATTGTGGCTAAAGTGACAATTTGATAAGTGTAGATATGGATTAAGATTCTCAAGGGGATAAAATGGGTTCTTGGATGGTCTTAAATAAATTGGAATTAAAGAATTAGCGGATTAAAAAAAGCTTACTTTTTTTTTTTTTTTTACGAATAAAAGAGCTTGCTTTTTACTACTAGATAGATTTCATAATTTTTGCAAACCATTAGGATAAGTCTAATCCTTAAGCCACCAATGCTCTAAGTCTAATAATTTCTCTTAAAAAAATTTTCAAAAAAAAAAAAACCTCTTAAAATAATTAATTAAAATCACAACCTCCATATATTAATTTCTAAAAAAACAAAAAGAAATCAAATATTAATGTTGAATTTTTCGGTCTGTTGGACTACGCTTAATCATGCTCTTACCTTGTTAAGTTTATAAAGAGAAAGCACTCACTGTAAAAATTTTCTTCGTTCACAAAAATCAAATACTTGATAATGTTAAAATATTATTTCAATATGTAATGTATTTTAATTAAAATTAAAAATTTCATGACAATATCATTTATTTTCTAAAATTTTTCAATTAAAAACCTAATCTTTTTGGCCTTGAGTTTTTTTATATACATAAATTAACTCATGGTTGAAGTGAGAGTTTGGGTCTCCGTCGTCTATATTGAATTTATTTAACCAGCGGTTAGAACTTGAAGTCTCTGTCTATATCATCTATATAATTAATCCATCTTCCCATTAAATTAAACTTATGCATTAACAAAAAAAAGTTTTTTCTCAAAAAAAAAAAAAAAAAATTGTTTGGTACTTGTTGACTTGTAGTAAATAGTACCTAGATATAATCACAATCCAACATTATTATTTATTCATCTGCGCTCCTAATTGATATATATTATCAAAATCACGCATGTGTAGTTCATACTCTCCCCGTTTCATTTTTTTTTTGCATGGTTCGACAAAACACGTATATTAAAAATTTGGTCAATAAAAACTATTTTATCCTTTTCATCCTTAACTCATTAATTGATTAATAAAAGTAATTTATTTAATAAACAATTATAAAGAGAAAAAGTAATTGTTTAAATATATAAATGTAGAAATCTTACAAATATTTTGAGATATCCAAAAAAGGAATAACAGGTAAATAAAAATTTTCTTTTTCTCTTTTCTTCCTTGGTTTTAACCAAGTCAAATTGGTTAAACCGGTAAACAATAGTCACTACACTAGTTTGATTT